CCCGTGCACGCAGATCATTCTCCGGGCTCCGTCTCCTGTGCTCAGAATGAACGCAACATGGATTCAGCCTAGATCCAAAGTGACAGCCCGGAGATACCGGCCCTGATGGAAGCACCCAGCTTGTGCCGGGCTCGTGTGTACACGTCCACGCTGGGTGTTAGCGTCTCCACTAGGGGTGCGGGGCGGTTGTGCCAGGGCTCCCAAAACTCCACGGGCTGAGGCAGAAGGGTCACTTGAGCCCGGCCCAAGCCCAGCCTGAGCCACGGAGTGAGACCCTATCTAAAAAAGAAGAAAAGACATGGTCTTTCTACGTCTTTAACATTTTTTTTGATCAATATCAAGCAAACATTACTGTGGGTTTTCGGCTTTTAAATTCTATTCTCCTTGACAATGAGGATTACTCAGTAATGGTGCCACGAGAGGTTCTGAGTCCTTCTGATTTTGCTCTCACTGGGAACCCTGTGAAGCGGTCTCCAGGACACTAAGGGGACGCATGGGCCGTATGACACCTGGTTGTGCATGTCTCCACATCAGGTCAATGCTGCGGCCCGGGGAGGTATGCGGTTCGTTGGCTTCATCCCGCAGCTCCACCCGCCTCCCAGATGCTGCAATGGGACTGGCCAGGGTGCAGGCGTGGAGCCCCCAAGCACAGTTGCAAGACCCAGTGCTGATGACAGCCAAAGCAGCAGGGACAAAGGGGGACCAGGCAGATGGCCGGTGGACGGTGGCCCCAGGGATGCGACCCATCAGGAGGGCAGCCAGGCACAGCGAGACCTTGACAGCAGCCCCAGGACTGCCCAGCCAAGGAAAGGAGAAGGTAAGGGACCAGCGCACTTCTGTGGTTTTGGCTTTCAAATTATTATTATTATCTTCTTTCATGACGAGGGTTGCTTGATAAAGTTATTTTGAGAGCTCTCTTGAGTCACTTTTAACCATTGCTGTAAGGAGGAGTCACTGTCAGGTGGTCCCCAAAACTCATGCCACACAGTTCCTCAGTGGAAGACTGATTCCCCAGGGCTCTGGCCCTCGCAGGGCAGGCCCGGCCAGGAGTGCTCCTCAGATCTCCCTCCTGCCTCTGTCTCGAGGGCTGGCCCATCGCCTGGGGCACTGTCGCCTTTGGTTACTAGGTGCTCCCTGCCCCTGGGCCACAACGCTTCCTGATGAAGGGGAGCTGCTAGGGCAGCAGCACCTTCTGGGCGATGGCTTGGTCCTTGATTGCCGAAGTACAGGTTTTCTCAAGCCGCCCTTGAGAATATTCAATTACTTGGGCTCTTCAGGGGGTTTTTCTGTTTGTTTGTTTGTTTGTTTGTTTAAATTTATTTATTTATTTGTCTGTGTGTGGCCAGCTCAGCCCACCAGGGGGCGGGGCTGGCTGGCATGTGGTGCTGGGGATTGAACCGCGGTCCCTGTGCTTTGCTAAGCTTGTTCTGAGTAGGTGCTGTAGACCACTGAGCCATCTCACCAGCCCCTCTTCAGGTTTTCTGACATCTTTACAGACTTGGTTCTGTTCGTTTGTGAGTCAGGGTCTCACTATGTAGCCCAGGCTGGCCTCGAACTTACAGCAATCCTCCTGCCTCAGCCTCTGAATGCTAGGATCATAGGCGTGCACCACCACACCCAGAAACAGGCTTGGTGGTAAGCAGCACTGTCACAGAAAGCCAAAGGCTCCGTCTGCCTTCAAGGTAGCTGTCTGGGCTCCAGAACCCGACACCTCAGCTTCTTGGGAAAGAGGGGGCGCCCCAGGCTGCTCTGAGAAGCAGACAGGAGCAAACTGCAAGTGCTGAGCCCTGGCCCCCACCAGGTGACCCTGAAGGAGGCAAGCTGGGGGCTGGGATTCGATAGCGTTGTTGGCCTGACACGTGCTGGCCACCGCGAGCCCCTCCGGACCTGTCGGGCCCATTCCTGTGGACTGCACCCTGCCAGCCGCAGGCTGCTTGCTGAGTGTCTTAAGCTCTGTGCTTGGCGGTAACTTTCCTCGTGGAAGCACCTGCCCAGGCTCAGAGGAGGAGGGTGTGGGACACACAAAGCGACCCGAAACGGTCACAGGTGTGGGCCCTGCTCCTTGCACAAAGAATTCACCGGTTCCCAGCCACACAGAAGATGTGACCCGTGTTCTGTGCATGTGTGTGTTCCAGTCTCCTCACACACACATCCGAGGAGACATTAAAAATGTTTGCAAAAAAAAAAAAAAAAATGGACACAAGCTGGGTGTGGCGGCGCACGCCTGCGATCCCAGCATTTGGGAGGCTGAGGCAGGAGGGTCGCTGCGACTTCAAGGCCACCCTGGACTTTACAGTGAGACCCTGTTTCAAAAAACTGATAAATAAATCTAGATATGTCTATCAAAAGGAGAATAGTTAACTGGAATATCATGTAGTAGTTAAATGAGTAAGATCTAAATAGCTCCTTATATCTCAAAGGCGTAACTTGTTTTATGGTACTGGAGATTGAACTCAGGTCCTTGTGCTTGCCTGGCAGGCACTTATTCGACTGAGCTATCTCCCCAGCCCCCAAAGGTGTAACTTTGAGCAAAGAAATAAACCAATTTAGAGTCTGTGGGATGGCGCGGGGACAGTGCCCAAGCAGCATGCCTGAGGCCCCAGGTTCAAAAGAGTCCAACTCCAGGCTGGGGAGATAGCTCTGCAGTCGAGTACCTGCCTAGCAAGCGCAAGGACCCGGGCTGATCCCTGGCCCGCACGCTATATGGGCCTCTGAGCCTGGGGTGCACCGAGCCAGCCCTGAGACCAGGCATGTTGGCACACGCCTATAATCTCAGTGCTGTGGAGGCTGAGGCAGGAGGATACTATGAGGCGGGACCATGTAGTGAGACCCTGTACCAAATAAACATTTTTAAAAAGTCAGCTTACAGATTGACACACAGTAGTATGATGCCAGCAGAAACAAACCGCTGTATTACATGGGGGTGTACAGCGTGTGCTAAGGAAGCTTCCGGGAGGCCGCCGTCTGCGAAGCAGCTAGCTGGGCGCCTCGCGCTCGGCTGTCCCATCTCTGCAAGTGCGTGGGCGGGCATGGGATTCGCTGTGACCAGGTGCTCCTGCTGCTGTCTTCTTGCTCCTCCGACCGAACTGTCCCCGGTGAGCCTGCAGCGTCCGACTGCCAATCCCAGGCCCTAACTCACCCTCCCTGTGCCGACCAGAGCCCCGGCTGTACGCGGCCTTCAATGCCTTCGAGGACGACCCGGCCTGCTGGAGCTACCAGGAGGGTGTTCTGTCCATGAAGGTGGCCAGGAAGGGGGCCGTCATCAGCGCGCTGGACGCCGACTGGCTGGAGCTCACCACGCTTTATTACAAGCAAGGCTTTTCTCTAACCGACGCCTTCGTGTGCTGGGATTCGCCGAGAGGTAAGTGCCGCGTGAGCCCCGAGTTTCTGTCTAGCGCTCCGGTCCGTGTTGAAGCCGCGAAAACGTTTCTGCGTCTGGAGTTGCGCGGTGGACGGCGCAGAGATGCCCCTGGGGAAAGGGTGCCCCTCGCTCATCGCAGAGCTCGGGGTGTCAGGTGTAACTCAAGCCCGCGGAGGAAGGGGCACCAGGCAACGCGGCCTGCTGGGCGGCGGAGGCAGCCAGGCCGAGGGAGGGCGGAGCTCTCGGGGCGCACTGGCCCTGCCCCTCCCCACAGCGGGTACCCCACCCAAAGCCCCGCGGATGGGGGCTCTGGTTCCCGGTGGTCGAGTCTGCTAGCTTTCTCCTTCACTTACAGGTGAATACAAATTCAATTTTTTAAAAAAAAATTTTATTTATTTGTGTGTGTGTGTGTGTGTCGAGCTCAGCCCACCAGGGGGCGGGGCTGGCTGGCATGTGGTGCTGGGGGATCGAACCGCGGTCCCTGTGATTTGCTAAGCTTGTTCTAAGTAGGTGCTTTAGACCACTGAGCCTTCTCACCAGCCCCAACAAATTCAATTCTTGTCTCCCAAAAAGGCAACTAAAAAGTTCGCAAAAAATATCTAAGAGAAATTAGAAAAAAAAAAAAAAAGATTGCTAGAATAGCCGGGTGCAAGCAGGCGCAGGGACCAGGGGTTTGATCTCTGGGCTCGCCAGGCCGGCCGTCCCCAAGGCATGTTGAGATGGCAACTGAGACTGGGTGTGGTGGCCTATAATCCCAGCTCTCGGGAGGCTGCAAACAGGCGGATCTCTATGGGTCTGATCTAGTAGTGAGACCCTGAACACCCTGAATGCCCCTAACATACAAAAAATAAAAAACAAAAGAGTAGCTGGGTGTCAGGCATAGTGTCAGAGCACACCTGGAATCCCAGCGCTCAGGAGGCTGAGGCAGGACTATCTTGAGTTCAAGGCCAGCCTGGGAAACTTAGTGAGGCTGTATCTTTTTAAAAAGCCAAGAAAAATTAAAGAAAAGAAAAAGGATAGGAGACTGAGGGAAAGGCATGAAAAGAGACAAGGTGGGGGGCTTAGGAAAGGCAGGAAACCAGAAGACCCTAGCTCTGAAGTCAGAGGGAAGAACAGAAGAGCCAAGATCTCGGAGCGCTTCCTGGTGACCGCCCGCACCCGGGGCCCTGAGCGACCGGCCACTCAGCTTGGGGCCCGCACTCCACAGGGTCAGGACTTGTGCCAGCAGGGCACTGCTCCCAGGCACCCAGGTGAGGCCCCACCCTCGCCAGAGGGCACTTGGAAGGGCTTGGTCGGGCCTGCCGTGCTGGGGGGCCTGGTGGTTTCTCCTCCTCTCAGGATCGCAGGGCACCGGAAACTTCCCAGCCTGCCTTCAGGGAACAGCAGTTGTTAATGGGAAGAGTGGGGTCAAGCGCTAAGCTAAGCTCGGGTCATCAATGTCCTGACCCTGCAGCGAATTCCAGCTTGGGAGGAGTATACTAAAGACAAGCCTTGCCTGAAATAAACTCCAGGGATTCCATCAAGATGTCCCCTCAGACCCTTGCCACTGTCTCCAGGCCTCTGGAGCACCCTGTGGAGGGTATGGCCTGGCGTGTGTCACTCAAGGCTCTCAGTCATGTGAGAGGTCAAGGGAGCAGGGCTGAGATGACCCTGCAGGAGGCCCTGGCTGGCCTCAGCCTGCCGGACAGCGGTGCTCGCTCCCTGTGCCCACGCACCTCAGGATGGCACCAAGAGCATCCCCCGATGGCAAGACCAGGCCTCCCTGGCAACTTGGCTGTGTCAGAGGAGAGGCTGGGCAGGCAGCTGGAGGAAAATGACTATGGTGGTTGATACGGCGTGGCGATTCCACGCCCACCCAGAGTGACTCAGCACGTACAGGGTAGCCAAAGGGGCTGAGGAAGGCTGCTGCACGCCACTTCCTTGGAGGACCTTGGTCCCTGCTCAGTTCTTTGCAGCAGCTGCCACCACTTTCTCAGAGGTGCTCCGGTGTCTTTGCAGTCAGTGTAGGAGGGAGGGAGAGGCTTGACAGATGCAGGGCTGCTGCTCCTCTGCTCTCGCTGTTTTCTGCCACCATGAGCTGCTGCCGTTTGCCCTGGAACAGCCGAGTATGGACTGAAACCTCCACTAACTGTGAGCTAAATAAACCTTTCCTTCCTTCCCTTTGAGTGTCGGGTGTTTGTCCCAGCAACGAGTGAAAGGTAGCTGAGAAGATGACTTTCTAAGTTTTCCACCGGGCAGGCCGTGCACCGAGGCTGGAGCATTGGGGCAGCTGTCCTCACCACACGCCTCATTGGCCCCAGAGCAGGACTCAAGGCCCCCCGCAGGACCAAACAGCCACAGGGGCCCAGGGCCGGGGGCTCAGGGATCAGTGCAGTCTTCCTGCCTCATACATGGTGTCCTCTTTGTGTTTTGTGATTGTTGTGGTTTTGCTTTTGCTTTGGCTCCCAATTAGGGTGTTCCCTATTCCCTTGGAGTCTGTTTTCTGGGTCTGGCATTGAATCCAGGCCTGTACACTGAGCTACACCCCAACCCCTTCCCTGCCCCATTTAAAAAAAAAAATCATGGCTGGGACTTGCTCAGTTGCAAGTTGCCCTGCCTGGGTGCCTCAGCCTCCTGAGGTATGAGCCACATGTTGAAGCCAGTTTGATTTTTTTGTGACTTCTTCTCAGGTTTTCCTTGACACCCTTTTCTAGCATCCCTGAGGGCTGAGGCATCAGGATGGGATGGGCAGCTGCCTCCTGGGGCAGGCGGCAGGGGAGGAAGGTGTCCTAACACCCCTGGTGCTGCAGAGCTGGCAATCGGGCCAGGAGGATGACACATGTGACCCAGCCTCAGAAGCACAGTCCATGGAGGAAGCCCTCAAGGGTGGCCATCTCCTTCAGGGCAGGGGACACTCGCACTGGGCCCAGGAGGCTGCAGGTTACAGCAGCTGACAGGCGGCAGCCCAGCAGGCCAGGGCCAGGAGTGACCCGTGGCCAGCAGAGTCAGGGCCCCTTGCAGCTGCCCTGGACGAGGTGTAATCACTCCTCTCCCGGAGGAAACTGAGGCAGGGGACAGTGATCACACAGGCTGGGCCACACCTGGCCCCTGTTCTGTTCCCCTGCAGGATTCACAGGGGTCTGGCTCTGTCCACAGGTCCTGAGCAGCTTGTGTCCTCACCGGGGTGCTGCCCTCGCTGCGGCCCAGAGAGCAAGGCCCGGGTGGGAGTGGAGAGTGGCTGCTAAGGTTTGGGGTGAGAGCAGGGGTGAGTGGGGACCTGGTGACAGTCGCCTCCTAGGACACCCCAACCAGGAGCTCGGGGACACGGCCTGTCCTCACCTGCGACCAGAGTTTTTGGGACGTGTACTGTGCCAGGCAGCTCAGGGCTCACCACCTGCAGGAGGAAGGGTGCTGCTTTTTTGATGCCGTAAGTGGGGCCGGGGATACAGCTCAGCAGCACAGCACAGGCCTAGCAGGAGTGAGGTCGGGGTTCAATTCCCAGGACCAAACAAAAGAAAACAAAAACAGAAAAGCAGAGACTCGGTGAGCGCGTTTGGCAAGAGCACGAGGTCCCCGTGGCTGTAAAACCGCACGTGGGCTGCTTCGTCCTGCAGGCATCTGGGCAGCTGCGGGGTCTTTGGCGAGCAGCCTGGGAGACCCTGAGAGGTGGCCGGCGGCCAGTCTTCTCCACAGCGCTGCTGGGCTTGCCCCGCCGCCTGTGACCTTCGGGATGGGGCCAGAGCAGGACCACAGCCGGAAGAGGGACGGGTGTCACCCAGCTAAGCCGTGGCCCAGGAATGGCTGGCCACCTGGCCATTTCGTCTATCTCAAGTGACGAGTTCATAACTGGTAAAGAGACGGAGGAAGCCTGCGCGTGCCTGCATTTCAGCCCTGCCCTGACAATGTCCGCTACACATCTTCGTAGAATCAAAAACTAAGAAAATCTAGATGCTGACCAATTTCTCAAATGATGAAAATGAGCGAGAATATTTCCACTGTGTATGCACAATGACAACACTCCCAGCATATGAGGACGGTAGTGATGGATACCATGAGCAGCTTAGACATCTCTATGCCCTTGCGTCTCATCTGTAGGAGCCCCTGTCACAGAGCATGCCTGCTGCCGCGCGACTCCTGCGTCAGATCACCTGCGTCATGACCATCTTTGCAGAGTTCTGGGGAAGACAGTCTTACAGCCCCTCGCTTTGAAGGGATCACTTCGCTCTTCTCAGAGCTTGCCTTTCAGGGGACACAAGAGTGGTGGCTCTGCTGGTGCTTCCAGCCCAAACTCCACCAAGATGCAGTCAGGCCACATGCTGTACCTGTCCCTGGTCACCATACACTGGGACCCTGGGCAAGAGGGCACCTCTGTCTCACGTGGCCAGGCCCCACGCACCTTGGCTGGGAAGCCCTAGTCATGTAGCACTCAGAGGTAACATCTGAGGAGCAGTGTTCACCCCGTGGTCTCTCGGCCACGGGCCTTCCCCCACCCCTCCCTGGCAGTCACCCCTATGAGGAGGATGTCCCCAAAGACACAGGAGGTCTGGCCTGACCTCTAGGGCTCCTGAGAGCCCAGGGGAAGGAGGACCTGTGACTGCACTCAGGTCCACACCACACGGTGATCAGGACAGGATCAACGAGTCTGCGAGGTGTCTGCGCTGAGCAAACCCAGGTATCACACAACCTCACCACCCTCTAGTCGCAGGCCGAGTCCTCAGTGGCCAGTTTCCTCGTGGCATCTCTGAACATCACGCCACTGGTGGCAGTGAGGCTGTGGCTGTGTGTGACTCTGCCGTGGGTTCATGTGTCCACACTGTCCACTGGGAAGTGGCCTGGAGCCCTGGTGCCTGCGGATACCGCATCCCAGAACGGCCAGTGAGGCGGTGCTAACAGCCATGAGTGCTTCAACACTCAGGTCCTCGAGGCCTTAGAGATGCCTTGGGCCACGGAGGGTCTCAAAGACTGGTGCAGGCTGTGTCCCATGGGTCACCCGGAGCAACAGGGCTGTGCACAACTAAAGGAAGCAGAGTGCGTGCTGAGGACATGACGTCACTGCCCCAGGAAGCACACCCCAAAGTGTCAGTCCTTTGTGACCCAGCCCCAAGCACGAGTGACATCAAAAAGAAAACGGAAACAGTAAAAACAGTTTGTTTTGAAAGTTCACACTCTGCGAGAGTGTTGATGTGTGTCCGTGTTCCCTGTGGTCCACGGGGCCGAGGCAAGAGGATCACCAGTTCAGGGCAAGCCTGGGCACTTTGGCAAGAGCTTATCTCTAAATAAAACAACCAGCTGATAACTGCTGAATAGCTCAGGACACTTGTCTAGCATGTAAAAGGAAAATATAAAAAGCAGAAGTTCATAGCCTGTTAACAAAAATTAAACCTGAAAGGTACATTGAAATTATTTTTCTCTTTTTTAATTCTTAAGCCTAAAATATCATTTGGAAACTTCAAAGGTCTTTATTACTTAGTGAACTATCAGCCACCAAAGCTTGTTGCGACGTTTTGCTACCCAGAAACCAAAACCTGTCACCAGCGCATGACCATGGGAAAGAATGTCCTCTTGCGACACAGGAGGCAGAAAAATTTCCACAAAACCAATATCACATAGGCCAGCTGGTTATTGTCAGCTACTCAAGAAAGAGTCCCAGAGGCCTCCTTCCCCTAAAACTTCCTTCCCTGCAGGAATTCTGTGGACAATGACTTCTGTGTAGGTTTTTCCTGTTGCTTTTTAGGGGCTGGGATGAAATGTGGTCTGGGAGAAACAAGCGTGGGGAAAGAGCTTCCCGCCCACTCACAGCCTCACACACAAATTGCAAGGATTAAGTTGTGTTTGTGTTGAGACAGGATCTCACTGTGTAGTACCTCAGGCTGGCCTTGAACTCAAGGCAATCCTCCTGCGTCAGCCTCCCGAGTGCTGGGATCACAGGCGTGTGCCACCACGTCAGGCTAACATTTTTCATGTTGTTTCTCTTACTGGTATAACTAACGTTTCATGCAGAATAGAAAGCAGATTTGGATTTCCCAGCAAAGCGCGGCTGCAGCCCGATCCCCGCCTGCTCACTGAATCGCACCATTCCTGCTGCCTTCTGCCTCGGCCTGGCCGCCTCTGTGCACATAGTCTGATCCTACTCCACCCAAGGGCAAACCTGGCTTTACGTCCAAGGAGGAAAGGCGCCTGCAAGGATGGGGCTGGCTCACTGCTCACGCTTCAGCACAGATGTTTTAATGAATTGTTCTCCCGGCCTCCTCTCAGGGTCATCTGAGGGTCTAGGTCTTGGGACTCTGACCCGCAGCCTCCCTCACTGCATCCTCTTCCTCACAGGGGACCATTTACCCAAGTCTCTGGAGGGATTTTTCATCTACGAGGAAGAGGGCTCTGTGCTCCCGGGTTCTCCCCGGAAGGGAAACGACGCCATCGTGGTGGAGCAGTGGACGGTCATCGAGGTGAGCCGCGGGCCCCAGCCAGCCCGCCTCTGGCTCGGCTTTGCGCTGCGAGACTGCTGGGCTGGCGTCCTCACACACACCCTCGCTGGGGACCTGGCATTGCGTCCCGAGGAGTGACAGGCCGCCACACCAGTGCAGGAGGTCGTGTGCTTCCATCCTCTGGCCATAGATGGGCAGTGGGGTCCAAACCTAGCGGGACTCTAACCCAGGCTGAGTCCCCGGGCGCCGAGCTTTTCTCTGCCCTAGGCCACTACAGCGAAAACAGCGCCACGGTTGGGTCACGGCTTGCCCCCTTGCCACCAGCTCCCTCCCCGCCTCACCAAGTCAGTTTTAGGGCCAAGGTGTCCAGAACAGCCAGACAGGAGCACGGCACTGTCCTCTGCCACCAGAGTAGACCTGCTGTGTGGTCGCCCTGGAGGTGGCTGGCGGCATCCAGGCGCCCTCACTGCGGGATGTGGGGCCTCGCCAGGGACCTCGCAGGGTGGCGCCTGCCTTGCTGGCCTGCAGTGGACAGGAGACTGACCCAGCCTTGGCCAAGCCGGAATCTCCTGGGTGGGGAAAGCCTTGGGGTGACAGCAGGTCATCCCCTCCCCCGCCTCCCAGCCCTCAGCCCTGTGTCCCAGCCCTGTGTGCCTGCAAGCAGCACAAGTGTCCTGGGGAGCAGGGTGGCCAGGCTGGGACAGCAGGAACCTGGGTGCCCCCTCACTCTCTTCCCCTCACAGTAGCCAGGCACCCTCTGGCTGGCCTGGGCCTGCCGCCCCTGCCACCGCCACCACCCCTGTCCGTGTCCTGTCCCGCAGGGCGCTGCTGTCCCACAGGGCGCTGCTGTCAAGGCTGACTACGGCCCCCTGCTGCACACCCTGGCGGAGTTCGGATGGCTGCTGACCAGCGTGTTGCCCACGCCCGTGCTCCGGCAGGACAGGTAACGCAGACTGCGCCCGCCCAGGCTGTCAGCGCGAGGTGTCCGCTGCACCCACACCTGTGGGAGGCCCGGAGAGACCCTGTCCCTAGCCTGGGACTCCGACTGCAGTGTTTGGCGACAGGCAGGCCCACCTGCCACTCTGGCTGCACACAGGCACGCTCAGGACACAGGCAGGCTGGGGACACGGCCTTTTCCCTCTTCCAAGGCAGAGTATTCTGCATCCCCCCTGCTCTCAGGGTCCCCCAAGATCTCGGGTCCCCCCAGGATCTCACTGGCCGGGCCCTGACTTCACACAGGCCCCTGTGCTTAGCCACGTAGCATGACATCTGGGCTTTCTCTGGGCCCCGGCATGCTCAGGGTGGCCTGGGGGACAAAGGACTCCCCTGGAGGTGGCTCCAGCTTGCCACCTTGAGCAAGCTTTACAGGCCACAGCCTGTACTAGTGCCTGTCACGGGTGCAGTGTGGGGCCTCCAGGGCATGGTGGGTGAGGCAATGCTGAGGCCTGCCCCCCCCCCCGACTGCCTGAGAGTTTCGGAGGCCCCAGGCCCCAGTCTGTACGTGTGCCAGGGCGCAGGGCTGGGCTCATGACACTGCTGCTGGTGGCAGTGGAGCCAGGCACAGCCTGAATCTCGCTGGGAGGCAAGTGGCTGAGGACTGCGCTGTCGGCAGAGTGCAGGAGCCGGGGGCAGGAGTGAGCAGGCGCCAGGCTGTGCTGGCCTAGAGCCCTCCTGGGGGTCCTGGGCTCTGGTTAGGTGAGCGGGGCAAGCACTGGCACACAGCTCTGATGCGTAAGGTCCACACTGCTGGTGCATGGCCAGCAAAATGCAGACCCCCTGCAGAGCAATTCTAGTGGGCGCCAGCTCTCAGGCTCCAGGGGAGTGGAAGCAGAGACTGCTTGTCTTTATGAGTTTTTTTTTTTTTTTCTAAATGTATTTTGTACAGGGTCTCACTATGCAGCTTGGACTTGTAGTGATCCTCCTGTTTTCAGCCTCCCCACCACTGGGATTGCAGGCCTGTGCCACCACGCCCAGACTCAGTGGCCGGCTCAGCATGTGGTGCCAGGGATCGAGCCCCGGTCCCTGTGCTTGCCTAAGCACGCGCATAGTCCACTGCGCTATCTCGCCAGACCTTGTCTTTATGTATTTTTATTATTCAACTTTTTTGGTAAATGTGCACGTATCCCATAATCAGTTTACAGCTAGGAGTAGTGGTGCACACCCATAAGTCCAGCAATCAAGAGGCTGATGCAGGCGGATCGCCATGTGTTAGAAGTCAGCCTGGGATACATAGTAAGTTCAAGGCCTGCTTGAACTACATAGTTAGGGCCTGTCTCAGAAAATAAATTAACAAAATACAAGAAGCAAAAAGTCAGTCACCCCTTAACATGATGAGGAGGCTGAGCGCGGTACCTTGCCCTCTGAGAGAGCTACAGATGCGGACACCTGGCGCAGTGACCCAGCTTCTGCGTGCAGCAGCCTGGCCCGCTTGTTGCACAGCACTCCAGGAACAACCGAGGGCCACCTGAAGAGCTTTGGCGTGGGCTGTAACGGCGGCATCCGGAAGAGGAGAGATGGCCGGCAGATGTGCTGGTGAAGCAGGAGCTTGCGCTGCCAGGAGGCTAAAGAGCGGCATTACCACCTAGAGGAATCTTAGCATTTTCCCACTGGCCTGCACAGCTGTAGGAAGAGGCGTTCACAAGGGCTCACGGTTTTCAGAGAAGGCAGGCTGTGCCCGGCTGGCTCCAGGGCTGAAGCTGCACAACCGGGCCTGGGGAGGACACTGCCCCACCCATGGAGCCAGAAGCAGGCGACAAGGGAGGAGCAGGGCCAAGAACACACGTCCAGGAGGGCCTGGCAGCCCTGAACCAGGCCCTCCCAGCAGCACGCCAGCTGTGAGCTCAGGCCTGGATTCATCTTTGGGTGAGCGCAGCGCCCCATGATCCAATCCCCCCCCCCAAACGTGAGACCCTGGGGGACGTGTTTAGAGCCAAACAATACCATCTTCCTACTGGCCCCAAAGTCCTATGTCGGTCTCACTGTAGAAAACACATTTAGTCCATCTCCAGGGTCAGCAAGTCTTAAGAGTCCCAGCACAACATGCCTGCCAAGGCCAAGGCAGTCTCCCCTGAGACTCAAGGCAGATTCAGCTCTGAACCCTTATACGAAGCTGAAAGCAAGCTAAATATTTCTATCATGCAATGGTGAAGGATAAACATGGATAAACATCCCCACTCCCCCAGGGAGAAATGGGGGAGAAGAAATAGAAAGGAACTGGGCCAAAGCAAGACGGAACCCTCCATCGCGAACTACAGCTCTGTGCTCAGGGCCTGGAGCCGGCTGTGGCGAGATGTGTGCTCCAAGGGCTGGGGTAGCCCCTGCCGACTGCCATCCTCGCAGCCCTCTCGGGGTGGTTCCACTTGCTGCCCACAGCTGTCCTCAGAGGTCCCACTTTCTTGGCACACCCAGGTCCACGGCATCTTTGGCCTCATCTGGCCCCCTCGTGCACTGCCTGCCCAGAGTCCTTGACAGGCCTCTCGGGCCCTCTTCTGAGGCCTGGGTGGAGACCTCTGTGCCCCGCCCGTGATGCCCATGCCACATCTGTAAAGCCAGCACCCCAAGGACAGTGCCAAGATCTTCCCTAGTGGAAACAGAAGCTCCCAAGGGCTCTGTTTGCCAAGGCCTCTGAGGACACGAAGGGCTGAACCCTGAAAGTGCAGGCCATCCTGGGGTTTTCTTTCCAAAGCAGCCTTTCAAAGGGATTCACCCTTTTCCACCCTGAATCTGCAAAGATGAGACCTTGCCAATTCCTGAGAGGCATCTTTACTCTTGTCCAGAGGCAAAGTGCTTAGCTTCTTTTTATTTTATTTATTTATCTATTTATTTTGTCCTTTTGAGACAAGGTCCCTCTGTGCAGTTCAGGTTGGCCTTGAGCTCACTTTGTAGCCCAGGCTGGCTTTGAACTCACAACAATCCTCCTGCCTCAGTTCCCAAGTGCTGAGATTACAGGCGTGTGCCACCACATCTGCTTGCCTTCTTTTTAATACTAATCTTTTCTATGACTATTCTCTTCCTGACCCCAACTTTATAGATCGTACCTCTCCAAGCAAACTGCTAGCTTGTAGACCACTGGTCTGGTGTGAGTAAGGTTAAATTTCATGACAAGGAGCATAAGCTATAATCTGGGTGTATCTCACCCAACTTGTCTCATGACTTCCAGTCTCCAGCAAAGTCTTAGGATCTGGGCAGAACGCCCGAGTATAGTCCCATTGCCAGCGGAGTCCTTGTTCCTGCCTGAGGCTGCGTGGGCCTGGCCTTTACTGTTCTCACTCCTGCCAGCATTCTGGTCTCCTGAGCTCCAACCACAATTCCTCACCGAGCTCAGCTCACAGCACTCTCAGGCTTCTCTAGCCAGCATCCCCAAGCCTTTCCAGACTCTTTGTACAGCTGATCCTAAAGGCTTCTAGACCACGTGGTCAAATGCGTCACAGCAGTGACCAATTTTCAGTGCTAGTCAGCTACCCTATTGTGCTGGGAGGGACACGTTACCTGACACCTGCAGTGCCTGCCACTGAAAGGAGGTGCTATGGTTTGGGTCTAGGTGTCCTCCCAAAGCCACACGCAGCTATTGGGGCAGGCTTCAAGAGTGTGTGATTCATTCATGATTCAACGCAGGATTACTGGTGTGAGTGCCGGGCGCACCCTGGGCTGGGTAATCTGCATACAGGGGAGGGGAGGGGCTGGCTAGCTGCCACAGCTCCTGCTCCTCCCTCTGCTCTTCGCTGTTTTCTGCCACCATGAGCAGCTGCCCCTGCCATGTGCTGCTCTGCCTGGCAGCCAGCTGAGTGTGGACTGAAACCTCCACAAACTGTGAGCTGAATAAACCTTGCCTTCCTTCGTTTTGGGCACTGGATGTTTTGTACCAGCAATGAGAGAAGAGTAACTGAGACAGGAAAAGAGGTTTATTTTGGCTCACAGTGTCCAGAGTGTTCGGTCCGCAGTTGGCTGGCTCCCTGGCAGACACAGCACACCATGTGACTTGTGGGCGAGAAAATGCCAGCCATTGCTGCAGCCTCTACTGCCATGAAGCCCTCATTCCCACCACTGGCAAAGAGAATCCAGAGCCCCAAGACCCTGGACAGGGAGCTGGCTGTGGACAGCCTCATCGTCCACCCCCTGGAGGTCCGGGAGTGTCGCCCAGGAAAGGCTGTGCAGAAGACAGCAGCCCAAGTGGAGGCCCACACATCAAGCCTCACGAGCACTTTCTCGGTTAGTCAGTTCTCTAGAATTGGAAGCACCCTTGGAAACGTGCAGCGACTGTCGTGGACACTGCTGTCGAGGCAGAATAAAATCCGCAGGTGCCCAGGAGAGGAAAGGGCCACATGGCCACATGCAAAGGTCAGGATCAGCTACAGAGCCTGGAGAAATGCGAGTGGAAGACTGGATTTGAACAGAAATTGCCCCCCCCCACCCCCTTCAGGGCTCCTTGGGCACTCCTGAGATCCTTTGTCCCTTTCCCTTCTGGGCCTGGAGTCGTACAAGTATCCACAGCCCACCCCGGGGGGACAGAGGTGAGGGTTTATTTGCTACCTGCTGAGGGGGACTGTTGGTCAGAAGACTGTTGGCCCACTGCCTTCTCACTCTGCCAAGCACAGTGTGCGGTCACAGCCACACTGCCCTGGACACACGGGTGGCGGGGTCACCACTCGTGGTGCACCGGTCATCTTTAAAGAAAATTCTGTAGGCTGACCTTAGCCGACCTGAAGTCAGTAAGGAGCCGGAAGTGCGTCAAAGGCCTCTGAAACTGGAAGGGGGTGTGAGCTGGACTCCGAGCCGAGCAGATGTCTTCTAAGCGTAGCTCCGCCATGCCAGCCGCATGCCTTGGACAATTCTGTATGCCTCGGTTTCCCATCTGGAAAGTGGGACGACAGCTGCCATTCTCACTGGAGAGAGACTATGTGTGAGTGCCCACGTGGGGCCTGAGTGTGCCGGGGTGGGACTGGC